CTCCATCCCTGTATCCGCCTCCTGCAACGGGGAGCCCTGCACGGTTGCATCACCACCATCACCCCTTCTCCATCATCTTCATTTTTTTCCCTTGGGAATATTAAGCCGAACTTATTTGGAAGCCTGAGAGTGCTTCGGCAGCACCTCATACATCTCAGCGCTGTTGGCTCCAGGTTATTTATCACATTTTTTCCCTAGGATGCAAAACATCCCAAGCTCATCTCAAAGGCGTTATATTTAGCAACATCTGCCGGGTTGCAGCTGAAGGCCACGAGGAGCTTTCTTTCAAGGAAACACAGTCTTGCGTGGGCCGAGCACAACCCCTAGGGCCGTTCGGAGCCGTGACGGCAGAGCAAAAGATGCGATACCAACCCGGTTATCGTGGGGAGGACCTTGATCTGCTCTGGCCCCCGTCCCATCGGATACCTGGGTGGCAGGAGCCGGACCGGGCAGTGCCGTTGCAGAGTCACTGACAGGTCCCCGGGGAGCAGAATGCTCTTGCACCGCCTAACCGAGCCTGCGGCCGGCAGGAAAACACTTCTAAACCAGAAGTGGGACATGCTTACAAGTTGTAGGGGATCCGTGTGCCAGCGTGGCTTGCGCTTGAGAGCGGTGGTTTCCTCTCTTTGTTTGTCCGGCTCGCACCGCCGCGGTGCTCCAAAAGGCAGGCGTGCCTCTGGCCACCTCCTGGAGCCTTATCTTACCCTGGGAGAATATATTAGATTTCCTTTTTTAAAGTAAAGCTGAATATTTTTTTAATTTAAAAAAAAAGAAAAAAAGACTTGAGTGTAAGGTTATAAACTCACATTTGGATTTCGTTAGCTAAAGTTAAAGCACACGTGGACCGTTTATTGCAGCAAGAGACCGAATAAGTGACTTGTCCCATCGGCAGCTCTGGGTTCGTTTTGGATCATCCGAAAAGCACGCAGGATTGCCAAAAGCAGGGAAGGACTTACGCTAAACCGACACTTCGAAAATCGTTAGCTACGTCCTCCGTTTCAAGAAACGGAGGACGTGAACACACGTTCATATAAGCAGCAGCGTTAATAAGTAACGCATATTTATTAATCCCCTTTCTGAGGGTTACAAATTAAAAGAAGACAGGTGGCATCCCGGGATTCGCAGCGTTTTTAAGCGCCGATGGAAACTGCTGAGAGGGTTTGCAAGAAACCCTGTTGCTCACTGGTGTCTGTTACAGCCACAAAGGCTTAAGCAGAGCCTAAAGTTAGACCAGTGCAAAGAGCTCTTAAATATTTGACGTCTGGTGCCCAGAGTAGCTGGGGTGGTTTCAAAGAGCTGGTGACTTTTCCTGCTTGTAGCATCCTTTGCGGAGGAATTCTCCCCACTGCATCTCGTGAAGTTATGTGAATTGACTCATCGTTCGGTAAAAATGCTTGTGGTTTAGTAAAACACGGTCCGTTGGACTCCAGAATTGTGTTATCTCAGAGAAAGAAGTGGAACTAATTTTTATATGTTGCACTGGATAATTTCTAATTGTTTCTGGCCATCCTGTGGAGTTCATTATTTCTCCTCCAGCCGACACCGGCTTCTAATTAGGGGATGTAAAATTAAGATGGAAGAGCAGCAGTTTACAAGGGTATTGCTCTTCAGGAAGGAATCTGGGCTGGATTTAAGGCAAAAATTTCCTCTCATTTGCAAGATTTTGGTGGGGAGAGGATGGCTTAAATGCTGCCAGGTACCAGCTGCTGCGTACGCCCTGTAAGAGGGAGGACTAATGGAGCAGCCCTTCGCCTCCTAAAGGGGACAGTTAGCTCCTGTCCTCCTTGCCCGTTCCCCTGCATCTCTTGTTCATTCAAAGGCCACAAATATTTCCTAAACCAGAGTATTTCCTACAACAAATTTGGGGTGGTTTCTATTCCCCCCCCCCGGCTGTGTGACTGGGGCGATGCTGCTGCGATGCTCAGCCCTGCTGATGCATTTCAACTGATTTATGAGTTTTTTCCTATATTTTCCCCCGCCCCCCCTCCTCTTTTTTTTTTTTTTTTTAATGCTAAGTATTTTTTTTTCTCCGGGGAGGATGATGTGATATCTACGCAACCCCGTTACGGTGCTGCTTTTGGGTTACAATTGCAAAGCCAAGAGCTGAAATAGCTTGGCCAAGACCTTCTTGTATCCATCTGTTTCCCCATCAGGATGCATCACAACTTTAGGAAACATAACACCGCTCGGAAAACAATCCCAGGTCCTCATTGACATCCTTTTCTGCCAGGAGACTTCTAGAAGATGATTCTATAGTTATTTAATAGGAAGGGAACAAAGTCTTCACCATAAGCCATCCCCTTGCTTCCCCGCGCAGCATGGTGTTAGCGTTATGTGCTGGTAGAAGAAAACTGGCTTTCAGAAATAGGAACAATTTAGACATTGCAGAAATCCGCAGGTTTTTGGCTTCATCCGTCAGCTGCGTGTGGCACGCGCTGCTTTTTTACAGGCGCTTAATAAATGCAAACGAGCTCTGGTGGTTTTCTCTCCCCTCCTTTTATAATTCTGCCGCTTGCTCATTTTCATTCTGCTTCTGGTCAGCAGAGATGGCTTTGATGGTGGCTTTTCCCCCGGGCTTTAGCTGGGAATTAAACCTAGCTTAACTTTTACAGCACGGTACACCTGGCTGGGGGGGGGTTCTACCAAGACTCGTTTGTATTAGGAAATAACACGTGGAGGAGCTGTGAGTGGTTTTGATTAACTCCCGCCAGTGGAAAAAGGAGGTTAGGGAGCTTCAGGTTGGAGCTTTAGGAGGAAAAGCAACAAAAATGATTCATTTCCTCAGGATTTTTGTACAGATTTAAGAAAGTCGATTTTGCGAGAAAAATTGAAAAGTTTTTATTTCAGTCTTATAGGGACTGGGAGGTCATTTTAACCCTTTTGCCCTCAAATTTCCCCGGAGCAGAAAATCTACTTTTCATTTCATCTACCCTGCAGTGAAGCTTACAGCCGCTAATTCTGAGAAATTAGTGGCTTTCTGCAGAATTCGCTCTTGTCTCTAGAAATGAGTCCTTGTTTCGCTAGCCGTCACGATGTGAACCCCACATCTGTACCCAGGGAAACATTGAAAATAGCAGCGTTGGCTTGGGTTTGATGCAAACCGGAACGGACCTTCCTGTAGCGCTGGATCCAGAACTTGTCCCAGTTATCCCAGCGGGTTATCCTGGTTATCCCAACGGCTCGGCTGAGCGACGGCTAAATCCGGAGATTTTTTTGGTCTCAGTTATGAGGAAACAGCCCCCATGAAGTTCAACTAATTTCATTGAGAGTAATCGCAATAAAACATTAAACAAGTGTTTCACATCCTAAATCCATACATTAAAATACATTAACTCCATTTATGGTTTAACCAGCAGTTTAGTGAATGATGGAATTTGAATTTTGTTAAGCCAACAGCCCAATCTTTTCATATGTTTTTCATTAGAGGAAACACAGATAGTTTGTCCGTATCCATCTTTTCCTCTAAATACTGTGTATTACCCCTACTGACCAACAGACCTGAGGAAAAGATCTCTAAATCTTGAAGGAGATAACTAAAAATGAGTGAGACAGTATGGAAGAAGAACAGTGAACAATGGAGACTGTTCAGTAAAAATTGTATTTAAAAATCTATTCAAGTTGCAACACTTCTACAAAAAAGTGTCAGAAAATCTATGACTTGGGGTTTTTATTACTTTAGCCTACATAAGACATATTTCTCTACTTGACTGAAAGGCGAGTAAATATCTACCCATTGTAAAGCCTTTCTCAAGGAATAACTCCAAATCACAGGAGTTGGTGCATCGCTCTTTTCCTCGCGGCATTCAAGTTATTTGTTAAAAACAAATTGAACTTCTGGTGGTATTAAAAGTTCAGCCAGGAAATACAAACCCATCTACAACTGGGAAGGAAAAAAAATCCAAACCTTTCCAAAGATCATTTTTTGGGGGGATTCAGCCTCACCTCTGTGTCACGGGTGTATTTTCACCGTTGCTTTGGGTGTTTGCTTTTGTGGAGGGTTACAAGGCGTGTGCTGGGAAGCGAGCCCGATGGGTGGCTGAGCTGTGGGATGCTCTCGTTGCTGACAATAGCTCATCTGGGTAGGGCTCAGCAAGTCTTCGACATTTCTATGGATGCTCAGTACCTCCACGATGACGTCAGGCAGAGGCGGAAATGCTCGTGCTTCGGGGCGTAAGCCAAGTCCTAACCCAGAGGGAGAGACAGAGGAGCTTCCCCTGGGTCTGCGTGGGGACGTTCCCATCCTGGGGGTGTTTATGCCTTTCCCAGAAAGATACAGGTCCGACTGATTTTAGAGGGGTGAGTTTCAGTGTAGTTGCTTCAGAATTCCCATTACACCCCCAATAGCAGCCGTGCCTTCCCTGCAAGGGAGACAACCGCCCGGGCTGCAGGGCTGGCGAGAGGCAGATCCAAGCGCCCAGCGCGGTCCCGTGCTCAGGTTTGCTCTCGGTATGTGACTCCGCATGGGGAAAACCTCCAGAGCTGCTCGATTTTATTTTTTTTTTTTTTTTCCCCCTCTAGAGATTCAATCCACGCAACATCCTTCCTTAAGCAACCCGCCGTAGCTCATGTAACCCATCTCCTTGCAGGTTCTCCCATCGCCTTTGCTTCCCGGAGGCAAAGCAGAGAGCTCAGGGTAGGGTTCAGGTAGCCACGGGCACCACGAAGCCATCAGCGAGACACCGTGGCCCACGACCACGCATTTTATGATTTCATTTAATTTTATATTTTTTTTCGGGGGACTCTGCTGCATCCCGGGCCGCGGCTCATGTAACCCATCTCCTTGCAGGTTCTCCCATCGCCTTTGCTTCCCGGAGGCAAAGCAGAGAGCTCAGGGTAGGGTTCAGGTAGCCACGGGCACCACGAAGCCATCAGCGAGACACCGTGGCCCACGACCACGCATTTTATGATTTCATTTAATTTTATATTTTTTTTCGGGGGACTCTGCTGCATCCCGGGCCGCGAGGGGGGAATAACCTCTTTGATTTTATTTTTTTTTTCAGTTCTCTCAGGCCAGACACACCACAGCCCTTTGAAACGCTCTGTGTCCCTTACCCCACCCATGAATGTGCCAAACCAACCTCTAGGACATGGATGGATGTCTCATGAGGACTTACGAGCTAGAGGACCCCAGTGCATCCCTTCCGATCATGCCCCCCTGTCTCCACAAAGCAGTGTAGCCTCTTCGGGAAGTGGTGGGAGTGAACATTTAGAAGATCAGCCTTCCGCTCGTAACACATTCCAGGAGGAAGGGAGTGGGATGAAAGGTGAGTGAAAAACCAGACGCATCCCCCCCACACACCCCCGCGCCCCAGCACCCAGAGGCAGGAGGGGAAAAGCCGTTTTCCCGGCAGCGCGGGGCTCGGTTGGCGGTTTTTGAGGGCAAAAGTCCTCGTAACTAAACGGGGTCTTTCGGCGTTTCTTCCCGGCTTAGGAATTTAGGTTTAGGGGAACAAGTTAGGGTTTCTTTTAAGCAGTGGCTGGTCCTGATCTGACGTCTTACAGTTGGGTGCCCGTGGGCTGGTTTTGCCCCAAAATCCTGCAAGCTGCCAACTTTCCAAAAAAACTGGATTTTTTTCCATAGCCTGTGGCTTTCGGCTGCAAGCGGTGCTCTTTTCCTTTTCTTTTTCTTTTTCATTACCGTGAAAAATAGCGTAAGTTTAGCAAGCCCTGTGTGATGAACCATTGCAGTGTTTGGTACCCACCAAGTATTTGGGGAAGTTTTGGCTTAGGATACCTGTTTGCAGTGAATTTATCCTGTGTATTTCTGTTGGTTTTCCCATTACACCTGCATTTCACAGAGACTCTTAGCAATAAATGTATGTGGTCCTGTTGGTAAACAAGGCAGAAATTAAACCCTATCGCTGCCGTCAAAGATGGAGAGCAAATTTCAGGCTGTAGAGGAATAAATAGATAAAACCTGGGCAAACGCACAGACTGTATATTCCTGTGAACAGACAAAACGACTGAAAATGAACCCGCAGCTCTCAGAGACTGATTTAAACAACTGCTGTTTTGCATTAATGCAAAGCAACTCAATTCTGTAAAGACCAGCGATGTTTTTAAATAGTCACGAGGTCTGATTTTATTCTAATTACAGGCCAATCTAGGTACATACAAATCTCTGCAATGTGGAGCTGCGTTTGACTTGGCACTGTATGACTTTTTGATCTGCATGAAATAAATGCCTGAAAAAACCCCTCTCGGTTCCCCCGTGAGATAGCTGCTCGGGGCTCAGCCCTCTCCCTGGCTGGACTTTGCACCGTAGCGTTGCTCTGGGGTGGGGACGATGGGCCGTAGGTGTGACAGGAGAGTTTTCTGAGCATGATGGCTTTGCTTCTCAGCGGCTCCGCTCGCTAACGAACATCTAATCGGGCAGAGCGGCCAGGGCGTTTTGTCTCCAGCGGTGCTCTGTGCCTGCATGTGGTTCTCGCTGCCTGCGTGACCTTGTGGTGGACCGGCAGGCAGGCTTGGAGGGGTCACCATGAGCACGTTGAAGACTAAGCTGGGATCAGCGGGAAGGGTCCCCAAGGCTTTCCGTGCCTGGGACCGAATCCTGCAGTCTGTCCCATTTTTGGAAGCAAGTGGTGCAGAGGGGTCTGTTTAACACTACATTGCTCCAGGTTTCTGCTGATGGTGCTGGGGAGGAGACCATGGGGAGCTTGGCTCCCTGTGATCCACAGCTGCAGGTCTGGGACCTGCATGGACTAAAATGTTCCAGTGCAACGCGATCAATCTATCCAGCCAAATCTGCGAAACCCAAAGGCGCTATTGCCCAGGCTGTCCACGAGCAATAATCAATTAAATAAACTCCTGATAAACTGCATGCAGCGCCCCGGGGCAGATAGCTGTCCTTCCTCGGGCCACCCCTTCCCAGGCATCCTCCTCCTCTGGAGGAAGGTTTGCAAACATCTAAGCCTGGTTCCCCCCGTTGCCGAGTCAGCCAGTTTGCTTTTGTCCCCCTGTCCGGGGACATGCGAAACAGATGTCTGCAGCCTCTGGTGTCTCCGACTGTCGTGTCCTCCCCCCTCCGCTGTGTTTTCGTCAGACTGAACCAATCCAGTTTCTTCCCAGATGTTTTTTTCTAAACTTGGGGTTATTCTTGCTTCTCTCCACCGGGTTTTTTCCACAAAGTCTGTATTTTATTGAAGGTGCGTTGCCCAAAACTGGACTCTGGAGCAGAGCAGAGACTTGCTTGCCATACAGACAGCGTTCCTGTGGCTGTGTAGCTCAACGTCCTCAAATAACACGCCACGGCGGGCTGCATATGACCCATTGTATCCCCACAGCTTTCCTGCAAAAAAAAAGTACTGCCCGTTCCCTGCCCTCGGTTCGTGCCATTTCTTGTTCCTACAGAAACGCACAACCTCGTGCATTTTTATTGGGTAGCATCTTATTTCATCCAGACCGGTTGCTCGATTTGCCAAGTCCCTTCTTTGAATTGCAGCCACGTCTCCCCAAGCGCCTGCAGGCTCTTGTGGCTTGGTGTCACCCGTGCCTCCGGTCAGCTCGCTCCTTCTTTAACATCCTCCAGAGCATCCAGGAGGACAGTGGGGAAACCAGACCCACGACAGACCCCCACCCGATGTGGCTTAGCCGTTCATCTCCCCTAAGGTCACCTAGTTTCTCCTTTCCGTCTGTCTTCCCGCTGAAGGAAAAACGGCCCCTTTGGCTTTTTCCCAGACCCCGGTTTCTCCAGGGGGAGACATGGACACTTTGTTCCCTGCAGAGCCCGTCCGTCTGTCTGTCCGTCCCTTCCCGGGACACAGCTCAGGGCGCACGGGGAGGAGGGTTTGGGTAGAGCTGGGCGTTTCTGCTGCAAGTAGGTCCATGGCTTAACACGGCGTGCCGTAAGGGCCCTCCTGAAGACATCCTGTGTGTACATCGGCCTCTGTGTGTGTGTGTGTGTATATGTATATGTATATGTATATGGCAGGGTGAATTGTTGTCCTTCTCAATTTCTTCTAAATTTCCATGCCAGCACCCAGATAGACGCGTGCCGGCCAAACTCCGACGTTTAATGCATATGGAGGACAACGTATGTGAGCAGTGTGAAGATTGCTGCTCGCATCAGACGCAGCGTTTCTCACAGCCGTGCCAGGGCTTCGCAATTAGCTCCCAGTAATCGGTGATTAAAGAGTAGCTCCGCGGGTGGGCGGCTCACTGCTCCGTGGGGAGCGTTAGGAAGTTTGACTTTCTGGGGACCTTAGATGACCTTGCACCTCCTGGTTGTCTCTTCTCCATGGGAAGGGAAAGTCCCATCACCATCCCTCCGTGTGCTGGGGTTGCTCCTTCTCCCCGGCCCATTCCCAGGATTGCCATCCCCGTTGGCAAGGGGGCTCTGGGACCGTCATAGCTCCCCAAAATTAGGAGGTGGTCCAGGGAGGCTGGTGCAAAGGGAAAGAAGAGCTGCTTCTGCGCTCTGACCCTCTGCAAGGGTTGGAGATGGGTTTTCTGCAAGGTTTAATGTCTGTATGAAGTTGCATCTGTCTTCGGAAAGTATCCCCGTGGGCTTTGCCATCGGCACGGACGTACGCCAAAGGCAGATGTCCCCAGGGAACACGAGATCAGGTAGACTTTTAATGTGTCCTCACTAAAATGACGTGGGTTTGTGTTAAATTGAAGTTGAGATTCAAGTCTGCCACTCCCGTACTGGAAACAGAGAGCTTTCTGCTAATAGCTTTTAACTGTTTTATAGAGAAGATTGGTTTAAGAGGCCTCTGGTAGCAGGTTTCAGGACTGTTGCATGTCGGGACTTTTGGAAAATGGCAAAGTTCAGCCTGTCCATGCTCAGTAACTGCTTTGCCCCCATGTTTGGAGTGGGGTTGATCTCTTTCTGTGCAGCATTTGAGGAATTTCATTGAAACGCAAATCCTGATGTGTGTCAGAGGACGGAGAGTGCGAGCAAAACGCAGCATTTTGGGGCCGTTTGCATCACCTCTGCGTGATGCGAGTGGGGTTTGGGGTCAGCCCAGGCAGCGGCAGCAGGAGGCTTTTGGCAGATGTAAGAATTTTGCCTGAGGGGACCAAACCAATGGTCCGTCTTGCCCTGTCCCCTCCAGCAAGGAGATGTTGGTTTGGGAAGAGATGCACGCTGGTCCTTGACTTGCATCTGGCACTCAGCAGCCTGGGGCTTTCTGGACAGAGACCAACCCCACCGCAGGATGTCCCAGCAGTGGGACTGCCCTCCTCACGTTGTCTCATCCCTTTCCAAGGCAAGTCTAGCCTCACACTTTGCGGTCAGATCAGCCTAGAAAACCTTTGAGGTTGGCTATGTTAGTGAAGGTTGTTGGACGTGGCCGTGAAGGTTGTCCTCGTGCTGGCCTTGGGGATGGTGAGCAGAGCACCAGCACCCACAGCAGAAGCACATAGTGGGTAGAAATCTCTCCCAAAAATGGTGCAAGCCCCCCATTCCTCCTCCCCCCTTGGTGGGCACGTTGGGCAGAGGAACCCCATGGGCGCAGCCTCGCCACCAGCCATCGCTCCTTCCCCTTGGGCTCTCCTGCTCCATCACCCCTGCCTGCCGTGGGACATGGGGTCCACCACCCGCTTGACACGTACCCCTTACATCGACTCAGGAAGGATCAAACAGAGGGGAGATGTTGCTGTTAATTTGTATTTAACCCCAAAAGAGACATTTCCCAAGCCTCCGCCTGCTCTTGCCGTTCAAGGTATGGGGGTTCGTGCTGTTTGGGACTGAAAAAATGGTTTTTCACTGTTGCTGCACCCAGCGCAGATTGAGACGGGGCTCCTGGGTGTCTCGCTGGTGGGGAAGGGGACAAGGACTCGTGGACAAGGGTATTGCTGAGAGCAGAGCGCCTGAGCTCAGTGGGCTAAGGCAGAGCTATTGTCAGGTTGTAGGTGCTAAATAAAGCAGGTCCCAAATTTGGCACAGCATTTGAAGCCTTTAGGCTTTAGGAAGCGTCATCACGGGCACGGTGGTGTGCTGCAGCACAGATATCTGCAGGGACCCCCCCAAATCTGCAAAACCCCAAGTAGCTGCTGAGCAGGCTGGAGCGGGGGAGGCTCCTGTCCCATTGTCTTCTCCATGGAGGACACCCCATTATGGGGTCTGGTGGGGTTTTGCATGTTGCAGAGGAAGAATCCCCCTCCCAGGTCCTTCCCCATGAAACCACATTGATGTCAGGAGGATAACAGTATTTTTGGGTACCCATCCAGCCGGGCACAGAGGTCCTGCACTGCAGATAATGAGTGGGAAGGAAGAAGTAATTTCAGTTGGTGCATTTTGAGGTCCCAAGTCACCCTTCTGAAGCAGGTTGTGGACCGTCTTCGATGGCATGTCATTTTTCCACGGTCAAAAAAAAAATCTCGTTATTTCTCTTTTAAGCAGCCATTTAAATTTTCAGCAGATACCATCTTCCTTCATGCCATAAATCACTGTCTGCCGTCTGCAAAACAGCCATTTGCTCATCCTAAGCTCAACCACACTGTTACCTTCAGTGGTTCCCACTTTCCCAGGAAAAGGGCAGCGAGGAGCTTGCCCATGCAGTGGCACCGCGCCTACTCCCTGTGGGCTAATTCCCGGCAGCTCAGCCGCAGAAACCCAACCTCTGAGGATGTGTCCTCATCCAGGGGCTGGTTCCTCCTACCATCCATATCCATATCCATATCCATATCCATATCCATATCCATATCCATATCCATATCCATATCCATAGCACTATGTCCTCCAAAAGGTCCGTGAAGTTCAGTAAGGTGTCTGAAGCACCGCTGGGATGGTGGATGGCACCTAATCAGCTCCTTGTGTTGCTGTTGATGCTATTGCGCGTGGTTAAGTGGTGTCATGAGCTCATCAGAAGCTCTCATCTCCTTACCTTTGTGCTGCAGATGTCCCAGCCTGGCTGAAGAGCCTCCGGCTGCACAAGTACGCCGCCCTCTTCTCGCAGATGACGTACGAGGAGATGATGGCCCTCACCGAATGCCAGCTCGAGGCACAAGTACGTCCCATGTCGGTCGTAAAGGGATCAGCCACGGTCATGATTCTTGTGCAGTCAGTAGAAGAGACGCCTGCAATGTCACTTTTTGCATCTTCACGTGGAAGGCATTTTGCCCGCAGGTGGTTGGAAAGCAAGCAGAGAAAGGAAAACTGGGTCTTGGGGAGTGAAAAACACCACATTGTACCTGAAAAAGGTCTTTTCCCAGATTTCCTACTGGAGTCCCACCATGGAAGTCCCATCACTGGGAGGCGTGCTTGGGTTTTTTTCCAGTTGGGAAAGTTCAGGAGTTTCAGGGGCGCAGTCTGCAGTGCCCAAGTCTTTAAAGTCAGTGGGGTTTTGGTGGCCAATTGCCTTGTTAACCTTTGAAAATGTCCCCGATCTCACATTTACCTCTGCGTTATCCTGGGGATGAAGACAGCCGGTCAGCACCTTTGCTTTCACTGTGTGAGATGTACTGGGGAGGGACAGACTAGCTGGAAATCTGTCTCCAGCAGTGATTTTCTATGCCCCCCCCCAATCCCTGCACTCAGAAATTTGGTTAATTTATAGCAGCCCTTTTTGTTTAGGGAAAGAAGGATTTGGGTTGGCCTGGCTGTCCTGTGGGAATGTTAACACCAGGTTTTGTGCTGTTTTTGCAGAATGTTACCAAAGGCGCAAGACACAAAATAGTCATCAGTATCCAAAAGCTAAAAGAAAGACAAAACCTGCTCAAATCCTTAGAAAGGGTAAGTAATTACAACCACATTTGTATTTCTTCTTTTTCAAGAAGCCAGGAATTAATTCTGGGGTGAAACACTCTTTGGTTATGTGTGTTGGTGGGATCTTTTGCAGAGAAATCTGTTGTTGGCTTGGCCGCATCTGAAGGACATCTCAAACACTTTTGTAGCAGGTGCGGGTTTTATTTGAGGCTGTGTTTTGCAGAGTCGGTCCTAATCCGTCTCCGGCACTCATGCAGCTGGGATGGATATATACCCTGTACGCTGGTACGAACCCTGCCCAGCTCCAGGATGCTCAGAAACACCTGAGCTCCAGGTGATGGTGGCCACCATCCCAGCGACACTGATGGGAAGTGTCACCCATCCGCTGAACTGCGATGCAGGACCAGCTCTAGCTGCACCAGCCGCTCTGGTCCTCTCTCCTGCTGGAGAAGCACCTGGGCAGAGCCTTTAACCCCTGGTTATCCCTCGGCCGCTTCATTAACTCTCCTGTCTCGATGCCACTGTCCCTCCCTAGAGACCCCTCCATGCACAGGACCTCCAAACCCTGTCCCTACCTCTCCATCCCCAAAAAGAGATGGGCTTTTGCAGTGTCTGTCAGGTACAAGGGCCACTGCACTTTTCTGGAGCATCAGCAACTGTATGAGGTTCAACAAGGCTCAGTGTCAGGTCTTGCACTTGGGTCACAACAACCCCAGGCAATGCTACGGGCTTGGGGCAGAGTGGCTGGAAAGCTGCCTGGAGGAAAAGGACCTGGGGGTGTTGGTCGACAGCCGGCTGAACATGAGCTGGCACTGTGCTCAGATGGCCAAGAAGGCCAACAGCATCCTGGCTTGTATCAGAAACAGTGTGGCCTGCAGGACCAGGGCAGTGACTGTCCCCCTGTACTGGGCACTGGTGAGGCCCCACCTCGAGTGCTGCGTTCAGTTTTGGGCCCCTCACTACAAGGAGGACATTGAGGTGCTGGGGTGTGTCCAGAGAAGGGCAACGGAGTAGTGAAGGGTCTGGAGCACAAGTCTGATGAGGAGCGGCTGAGGGAACTGGGGGTGTTTAGCCTGGAGAAGGGGAGGCTGAGGGGAGACCTGATCGCTCTCCACAACTACCTGGAAGGAGGTTGTGGTGAGGTGGGTGTTGGTCTCTTCTCCCAAGCAACAAGTGATAGAACAAGAGGAAATGGCCTCAAATTGCTCCAGGGGAGGTTTAGGTTGGATATGAAGAAAAATTTCTTCACTGAAAGGGTGGTCAGACATTGGAACAGGCTGCCCGGAGAGGTGGTGGAGTTACCATCCCTGGAGGTGTTCAAAAACCGTGTAGACATGACACTTCAGGACATGGTGTAGTAGACGTGGTGTTGGGTTGACGGTTGGACTTGATGATCCTAGAGGTCTTTTCCAACCTTAAAGATTCTATGATCATATGGACAATCTGTCCCCAGATACAAAGCCAGACACCCACGTCAGTGCCTGAACAACAGCTTGAATTTCCAAGGAGAACAAACAGAAACTCCTTTGTCCTTTGAACAAAAGCTTAAACTCTGCAGAAATGACTGTCGGAGAAGCACCAGCACCGCAGACTGGCTGAGAGCAGCTCACCCAGCACCTCGTTATTTGTTATCGCAATATTATATTATATTTAATTGGACCGTCTTCAAACAGCAACTTGCAGAGCCTCCCGCTAGGGGCTTTTAAATACTTATGTGGTGTGTTGCTATTTATTGGTGTTTTCGTTAGCTCACTGCTTCGCGATTTATTTATAATATGGGATTGCGCTCGGAGTATGGCAGGAGCTAATAAAGCCATATTTACCTCCCTATATTAATAACTATTGAATCCAAGAGACAGCCCACCGGCTTGAGCTTTCTTCGGCGATGTGTTTTCCAGGTGATTGCACAGCCTCTTCCCCCGCTTCTCCGCCTGGGTTTTGAGATACGGTATTGATTGACCGTCACGGTGCGGGAAGGGGAGCCCGGTTGGGCTGACGCAGCCAGCCACGCACGCTGTAAAATAGGGGAGAGAAGTGGCAGGGGCTGCTTCGGAGCGCTCATGGGATGGGTTTGGGCTGTGGGACCCGGTCCCACTTTGCTGGGGCTCAGAGCTGCCTCTGAGCCGGTTTACTTGGGAGGAGACATCTCTGGTTTTCCAGACTTCCAATCCAATTTTTTTTTGTTAAACAAGAGCATGTGTGGGACTTGATTTTTTTTTTTTTTTTGGGCAGTGTCTCGCTGTTAAAGATTGCTGCTTTCTTGGAAAGAGCAGCTCCACCCCTCTCTGCCGGTTAGCAGAGCAGGATTTTTTTTCCCTGAAAAATCGTGCCCAGCGGACTGACGCCAGAAGTGGAGCTAAGACGTCCGAGAGCGAGCTGGGGGGGGTGCA